TAGGCAAGCCTGCAAATACCGCCTTAGGTGTCAACTCTATGATCGAAAAGTGAAAGAATAGGAAATAATTAATTAAAAAAAAAATTTATAAACAAGTAATAGTGCGACAGTTAGAGCTAACTAATATACCAAATGTCTGATGCTTACTCAGAATATATAGAAGAATTTAGTATAGAGATAGTTGATTTCAATCTGATTGGTCCTACTGCCTATATATCTTTACCAGAAACTTTGCCGAAATGTAATAACGGAATTATTAATATTCAAAATAATGATGACTGGTGTTTTGGGTGGAGTGTTCTAGGAGCTTTGCATCCTGTAAAAGTTCATCCAGAGAGAAATCCACATCGGCTATATAGAGGTTTCGTGGAGGAACTTAATATGAAAGACATCCCAATTCCAGTGCCGGTCTCAAAACCAGTTTATAAAAAGTTCGAAGAAAATAATCCTGAAATCAGTCTATGTGTTTATGAATGGCATAACCAGAATGAGTGTCTTGAATTTCGCTATGTTTCAGAAAGAAGAGGTGATAAATATAAGCAAGTAAATCTTCTAGTAATTACGGAAGAAGAAAGAAGCCACTACTGTATTATCAAAGATTTACATAAGCTAGTATACAATCATAGCAAGCATAAAGGGAGAAAATACCTCTGCCGATATTGTCTTCATGTATATTCTACAGAAAAAAGATTTAAGGAGCACTTACCAAAATGCAGGGGTCTAAATGAGGCTTCGCAGAGACCAAAAGTGCCAGGAAAAGATGATAATGAAAAGTATTTTTATAATTATAAATGCATACAACCGAACCCATATTGAATAATCTGGAATCTCGAAATGTTGACCGAAAAACTAACTCCAGAAGAGAAAACAAAGTTAACCCATACAGAAAGGCTACAGATGCATAAGCCATGTGGTTATTGCTATGTGGTTATTCATATGAACAGTTCATATAACTATGAGATCATAAATCATGATTTGTATAGAGGACCTGATGTGCTAGAAAGGTTTGTCTTGCAAATTGAAGAGGAGTTATTAGCCATCCAGGCACATTTATCCACACCAGCTGAAATGATCATGGCTCCAGGAGATATTAAGGCATACAAAGAAGCAACAGAATGCTGGATATGTAAGAAGCCTTTCCTTAAGCCATCACCAGAAGTATTACAGAAATTCGAAGAAGTAAAGCACCATTTACTAGAAATCAATAATTGGGAAGCGCATATGGAAAAAGAACATCCTGAAAATAAAGAGGCACAGAAAAGATACCGAGAAGCCTTAAGTGCTCTTAACCGAAAAGTAAAAGATCATGATCATATAAGTGGTAACTACCGAGGCCCAGCTCATGACGCCTGCAATAAAAAGTTGCGAATAGGCTCTTTTGAAACCAAAGTACCTCTTATTTGCCATAATTTCTGAGGTTATGACTCTCATCCGCTCATGAAAGTTGTGAGCAAGTTTACGGCTGATAAGCTAAAATGCATTCCAGAGAATATTGGAAAGTACAAAGCCATAGATGTTGGCCAGCTCCGATTCTTAGATAGTTTCCAGCACATGGGAATGAGTCTCGAAAATTTAGTAGCATGTCTGGAAGGGAAGCTCAAAAAATTCCCCCTAACTGTAAAGTACTTTACTGAAAAAGGTTATTCGATAGAAAAGATTAAACTTCTTTTCTGAAAAGGCGTATTTCCATATGATTGGACAAATTTGTGAGATAAATTCAACAGAACAAGTCTTCCGCCTAGAAAGGAATTCTATTCAATTCTTAGTCAGCAAAATATAAGCAAAGAGGATTATAAATATGCACAAAAAATATGGCAAACATTCGAGATGCAGAGCTTTGGAGACTATCATGATCTTTACCTTGAGACAGACGTACTCTTACTAGCTGATGTATTTATGAACTATACCATCATGTGTCTGCAAGATGATGGCTTAGACCCTTTCCACTACGTCTCAGCACCAGGAATGTTCAACGATTCATTATATAAGAGCAGTAGAGTCGAACTCAAACTCATAACAGATATGGACGAATATCTGATGATTGAAAATGGTATCCGTGGAGGAATGACAATGGCAAGTCACCGATATGTCAAAGCTAATAATCCAAAATATTCAGATTACGATTCTAGTAAGTCTACAACTTGGACATTATATGAGGATATGAATGCTTTATATTCAGAAGCGATGACCCAATATATGCCTACAGAAATATTGGAAAAAGTAAGCCCAGATGAGGTTCCGAACATACAAAGTATTGCACCAGATGCAGAAATAGGATATACATTAGAAGTTAATCTAGAAGTCCCAATGCATTTACATGATTTCTTTGCAGATTATCCTTTAGCACCAGAAAAGCAGTTAGTTCCAGAAGAATGGCTTAGCTTGTATAATGAAAGATTAGTGCATGATAAAGAAGTAGGGGCGGAAAATATACAACAGGAGAAAAGCTCGTTCAAATCCTTTATCCCAAAAAGAACTACGTAGTTCATTATCGTACACTCCAGTTATACATGAATTTGGGGATGAAAGTTACAAAGATTCATGATGCACTCAAGTTTAGGCAATCCCCCTGGATGAAAGCATATATCGAGGAGAACATACGTAAGCGCAAAATAGCTAAGACCACTGGAGACGAATTTGGGGTCATGTATTATAAGCTAAAGAATAATGCTGTCTTCGGTAAGCAGATGGAGAATGTCCGTAAACATATGAGAGTAGAGTTACTCAAAACAGAAAAGAATAAAAAAATCAGGCGTCTAGCAAGTTCTCCATTATTTGTGAGTTTCAAACAATTTGATGGAGGAATTACAGCTGTTCATATGTTAAAAAGCACAGTAACACTAAACAAACTAATCTATGTAGGGCAGGCAATTCTCGACATTAGCAAGGCTATGATGTTCAACTTTTGGTACGGTTACATAAAGCCTCGCTATGGAGATAAGGCCCATTTACTGTATACTGATACAGACTCACTCATCATGTTGATAGAAACTGAGGATATCTATAAAGATCGGGCAGAAAGACCAGACATTTTCGATCTTAACTATTTGGGAGACTTGTTTCTGATGAAGGATGAGACAAAGGAAAATCTAATAGGCAAATCAGTATGTTTAAAGCCAAAAATGTATTCAGTTCTTCTAGCAGGACATGATCCTAAAACCCCTGAGACAGATGCGGATTATGAAAAAGAGTTAGAAGAGGAACAATATAGAAAATCTCAGGGTGAAAAGAAATGGGAGAAAAAGCATGGTATCCAGAAGGCAAAGGATGTTAAGAAATGCGTGGTTAAGCGAGAACTTCAACATGATAAATTCCTAGAATGTCTTAGGAATAAGAAACTAACCCAACATGATATGTATGGTCTCCGCAGTTAAGATCATCAAATTTACCTTGAGAGAGTAAATAAAATAAGGCTGAATCCATATAATAACAAGCGCTGGATCTTACTTGATGGAATTCGAACTCTCCCATATGGACATTGGCGAATTGGACTATATAAACACCTGATAGCATCTGAAATATCTCCTGAGGAAGCAGAAGAAAGGGTCATGAAAGCTAAACTTCGTGTCAAGACATAGATGTTTTATAACAAATATTTTTTCAGATAAAAAATTCTAAAGAATATATTTTTATTAATTAAAGTTTTTCTATCGTTATAGTAGAAACAATACAAAAAAAATGGTTGATCATAAGGATATAGAACTTGCGCAAATTAAAGTCATAAAAACAGCATTGCGAAAGGGCAAAAAATATGATAATCTTGCGAAAAACTATGGAGACTATCTAAAGAAATTGCGAGCTGAAAAGAATCCAAATGACTATATTAAGGCAGTCGCAGTCAAGATGTTTCCTAACGAAGAGGTATACACTCTAAGGCTAGAAAATTATCACAAAAGATATGCAGATAATGATCTGTGTGCTAGCCTA